TATATATAGTCAAACAGAGCTGCCCGGTAAACCGTAGGCAGAGAGGGAGAAGAGGACAACAAACGAGGGGCTGTGGCAAACTGTTTCGTCGGAGTTTCACATATATATTTGGCCCGGCTGGGCAAGTGGTTCCGGGCCACTCTGGTAGCCTAGTTTGAGATGCTATTAATGGAAAAAAATATCATCCTTCATTAAATCAAGCAATGGTCTTGCTCTCCCATTTCTCTTTTGGAAAAAAAGGAGACAAGAAGAAGGGCAAAGATATCACAAGCTACCCACCACACAATAGGTAAGAAAGGGGAAACATATACTTCATGAAGTTTCATAATTTCTTATTATTTTTGTATCGACGGCCAGCGGTGGATGACAACTCACTTATTCAGCGATGGCAGTCAGAAGCTTCTGGCTGTTTGCAAACATGTCCCCGCCGCCTCCACATTTTGTTTCTAAAATGCCCCCCTTACATACGCTACCTTGTCCCTCTTATCCTGTGCCAAGCATTCCGATATGAGACCACGATCATCAAAACGGAAAAGAAAAGAAGGAACAAAAAAGGGGGGGGGGAAAAGACTTGCAAGAAGATAAGGGGCCAAAAAACAAAACAAAAACAAAAAATCAAAGAAGAAGAAGAAGAATACAAATGGTGTCAGTACACGATGTATTCTCCGTTCAACTTGCCGGTGGAGTAGGAATCGGACTGATGCTCCTCAGATTGGATAAGGAGCTGGAAGCATAAGTTTCTGTTCACAGAAAAGATAACGACGACGACGACGACGATGACGACGACGACGACGAAGAAGAAGAAGAAGAAGAAGAAGAAGAAGAAGAATGCAAAAATAAAAAAACGAAGAAGGGCGAGAGGAGGAAGAGGGAAGAAATGAGGACCCTCTCTAGTTTTCAGTGGCATTTCTTTCCTTTTTGTTTTTCTTTGTTTTTTTAGAAAGAAAAACAGCAGTATTTGGGTCCTTCTTCCTGTCTCTTTCCAGACTCCTTCCCGGATGTTCTTTTATTTTATTTTTTTTCCCCTGCCTGTTTCTTAAGGTCGTCCACTGCCGGTTCGGACGATACTGACGTCGTTACCTGATGGGTATTGCAGCAAAATGGGCCTTTCTATGTTACTGACACACAATGGTCCTTTATGTGGTTCAAAACACGCCGGTTTCACCCTTTCTGTTTTCTCTCTTCTTTCTTTCTCTGTTTTTTGTCTCTTGTGGTCTGATTCCACTTCTCGAGTTGTTTTACACGGCATTTGTCTCAGAGTTGAATCTTACATGAGAAATTGACCAGATCATAGCACATTAAAAAAACGAATAACAGAAGGCGGGCCCCACACGGCCCCCGCCTCTCACCAATGCATATTTGTTAGTGTCCAACATTACTGTTTTTTTTTTCACTTTTTTCTGGTTTCAATTTTGACAAATATCTAAATTGTGCTCTCCTGGGCGCCATAGATAGTTTTCTTTTTGTATTTAGTATTTACCATTTGGAGCCTTTTTTTTCACCTGCAATCAACTTCCGCCTTTTCTAAACTTGAAGAGGATTACAACTATTAACAAGTTTAATGTTCCGGTTCGAAACTGATGCACATGGACTCATGTCCATTGGAGGAGGGACAAAGCTCTGTTGGAGTCCATTCATTTTCAACTTGGACCTGCCTGCCCCAGTCTATTTCTCTCAATATATGTCGCAGGGCCCTAGGTAAGGTCACCCACATTGCACCACACCTAACACACCCAACCTAAATAGTAGCACTCCCCTGTCTGTTCTCTCAATATTTTCCCGGGTCACCTTGTTTGCCTGGGCAGCCCGGCCGTGGAAGGACCGTAGAAGCTCTCAGCAAAAAAAAAAAAAAAAAAAAAAAACCTGAAAAAGAAACGTTATGCAGAATAAAACTGAACAACTTTTGCCTCAAGGTCACATCAAAAAAAAAAAAAAAAAGTGTAGTTAAAAATATACTGTTGAGGGTTCAGCCTCCTGATGAGTCGGTGAAACTCCGACGAAACAGTTTGTCACAGCCCCTC